TCGGTTCAGCCTTTGGACCTGGAACATTCCATGACTCCACTGCCTCCTACAGGAACTAAACTTCCTTCAGTGATGCAGGAGAGAGCCTCTCAGCCTACAGAGCCATCTACAGAGGAGCAGCTCATCGGACAGTACCACATGAGATGCCACGTCCGACAACACCAGGACAGGAGCCCGTTCAACCTCGAACACCCCCCAGTGTCACCATCTGACCGCTGGAAGCAGAGCTTGTCATTAGTGTAGTGCCCTCTACAGAGACTGAACATTCTATGGCCCTGCAAGACATTACAGTTTCTGCTCAAGCACCAGGAGGTGACACTTGCACATCCAGAGCAGGTGCAGGCTCAGCCACCAAACCTGAGTCCTGGAAACATTCAGGCCTTGAACATAGGACGTTCGCATAACTTCTCTATCTATTCTCAACTTTATCCACCTTTACAAGAGACCCCACGTTAGCCTTCAGAACAGCAATGAACAGGAATTGACAGGCCAGTGTGCCTGCAAAGACCCGGGTTAGGAAGCAAGGAGAGCTATTATCTTAAATTATGAACCTTGAATATCAACTCTAGAGGTTTGATAGACAGATATGGAGAGACAGAGTTTTCAAGCAAGAGAGCAAAATGATTGAAACAGGAGGGCTCTGTTAGACTCCACATGCAGTGATCTGGAGGGGAAAGTTGAGTTCAGGGAGACCATGTAGAAAGCTCTAGGAAACCTGAGGATACAATGAGAAGCAGCTGAGCAGAGTGGTGGTGGGGTTGGAGGATGCTGGGAGCGCTGTCTGATCCAATGAATGGCAAAGACTTGGGGGGCAGGGGGGGCAGGAAAGAGCAAATCCTATGAGGCCCCAGATTCCACCCTGGATGGAGAGGAGAATGTGGTGGTATGACAGGTGGCAACAGCGAGTAGGAGGGAGGGCCAGTTTGAGGGAGAGAAGTTCTGTTTCAGCCTCCTTCACCGGTGAGCACAAAGCGATCAGAATGCATCTGGTTGTGTGGCAGTGTTCCCTAGGCTCGGGAACTGATTGATTTCTTCCCCACCCAGCCCCAGAAAGAGTGTACGTAGACCAAAGAGGAAAGATATTGCTAAGGGGTAAAGAATGAGTTTCTGCAAAATTGAGACTAAACTGTAGTTCAAGGCAGACTGGCAATGAACTCCTGGCAAACCTTGGGCCTCAGCTTCCTAAGTGCTGGGATTACAGGTGTGCACCTCTACTCCTGGTTTAATAGCTTCTCGTCAGTGTGTGATAGATGCCACTCTTAAAAAAGTCACAGATGTATAAGGAGTAATGTGAAATCCATACCCCTGTGTCCTTGATCACCCTGTCCCCGTTACTCTCTCACCCAGAAGTTAAGCTGTAGTACCACTCTGGTGTGTGTCCTTCCTTCTTTGCACTTTTTCCCCTGACAAGGTGATGGTTTACTCCCTGCTTCGTGGTTCCTGCTTTTTCTCTATGCATCAAGTCCAAGCGGTTTTCCCACCTGAGCACATCAGTTCCTCTGAGCTCCACTTGTCCTGATCCTTCCACTGCCAGCGGAAGCTTCCCCAAAGGGTACTGAGGTGAAGCTCTGGTGCCTCCTGGCATAGGGTTTCTTTCTTCTTATTTGCTAGTGATGATATATTTTGGCCCATTTTTCTGTTGAATTATTTATCATTTATGTATTGATTTGCAGAAGGAGTCAGTTTACATACAAGTGATTTTGGGAAAAAATACTTACATTAAAAGTAATTGATGGGCATTATTTATCCAGGAGATTAGACAGACAGGAAGTTTGGTTTCTGAGGGGAAGTCTCATCATTTGTGCTAGCGTCTCCATATTCTTTCTTCATTGTGCACACTGGGGAGCGGTTAGTTCTGAAAATGAAAAAGCTGCTTTCTTATCTGTCTTTGAATATCCTGGCGATTGCCAGGATTTTTAGTTATTCTGCTTATTCCTGTCTCAGCTGTTCAAAGATATAAACTGTTTTTTCACAGAAATTTTCAAGGAATTCCTTTCATGCTATTCAAGAAGGGACACAGAAAACAAACCACTGGGCTCAGAAACTGTATCTTCTTTCCAAATATGAATACAGAAACTTCATTGTAAGATCCTTGTAGGTACAGAATTGTGAAGTCCACATTTCTGAGAAAACACATAAAATTTCATGTGGATTTGGAGTATAGCTCAGTGGTGGAGCTTCTTGGCATGTTTGAGGCCTCGGTTTCAATCTGCAGCTCTAGAAATAAAAAAAAAGAAAACTATCATCGATCTTGGAACAACACCGTTGAAATTTATGCACAGAAAACATGATTACATGCTTAATGAATAAAAGTGAAATAGCCAGTAAAGACCTTTCATGTACCCTAATGTTGCACAATGAGGTAACCACTACTCTGAGTTTAATATGTATCTTTCCAGATTGTTCCCATGAATTTTCCTACATATATATTTACATACAGCAAAGTAGGTTTGTAGGTGCCTGTCATCTTTCCTTTTTACCTAAATTTTAATATCCTCCAATTTGAGTCTTTCACTTTTGATACATCAGGGTTTCTTCCTGCCCATACGTAGAGGGTTACCCTGTTCACTTAAACTCCTGTAATATTCCATAGTGTGTGCATGTCATGGTATATTTATTTATTTGTTTGTTTGTTTGTTTTGAGACAGGGTCTCACTATGTAGTGCAAGCTGGCTTTAACTCATTTACGTAGCCCATGCTGGCTGTGAACTCACGGCAATCCTCCTCCTTCAGCCTCGTGAGTGCTGGGATTGCTGGCATACACCACAACTGCAATAGTGTATTTATTTCATTTATTCCAATTTTGGGGGGTTTTTTTGAGACAGGTTTTCGCTATGTAGTGCAGGATGACCTTGAATTTGCTTATGAGGCCAGGCTGACCTCAACCTGAACTTGTGGCCATCCTCCTGCCTCAGACTGCTGAGTGCTGAGATTAGCGGTGTGCACCGCCACACCCAGCTGTCAAGGTATATTTAGTCATTTCCCTATTGATGGATGTTGGAAGTATATCCAGGTTTTTCCCCATTTTTAAAAATTAGTACATTGCAGTATATAATGATTATTCCACATGGGTAGTGAGTTGGTACATAATACACGTACATAATACTGTACAACTTAATTCCTTTTCTCATGCTCTTTCTGCTCTCTCCCCGCCCTCCATCTCTTGATCTTCCCTTTGAGAAAGCTCTATCCATCCTTTCTATTACCTACCTTTAATTTTGGTCTTTATTGATACTTCGGGTTTCTCATATGTGAGAAACCATGAGATAATTAAGCATGAGTGTGTCCTTTATTTCACTTAAAAGTATGATCTCAAGGTACATCTATTTTTCTATTCAAATGTATACAACACAGAGCTTCAAAGAACTAAGTTCCATTTATTTAGATATTTAATTTAACCGTGGTTTCTAGTTTTCAATGTACAGGTCTTGCACCTATTTGGTCATATGTACTCCTAAGTGTTTAATTCTTTTCACCCCATGGAATAGTTTTCTTAACATCATTTTTAATTTTCTTTCTGGTGCTGGGGATGGAGCTCAGGATCTTGCATGTGCTGGAAAGCATGCTACATTGAATTACACTCCAGCTCAAAAATTCAGCCAATTTTTGCATAAGGATCTTGTGTCCTAGAACCTTTAACCTTTTAATCTTAGTTTTCTTCTATGTATGCATTCACTATTGTTTTCCTACTTTCTTTTGATTTGTTTATTGATTGATTGATTGATACAAGGTCTCACTATGTAGTCCAGTCTGACCTTGAACCCATAGTGATCCTCTTGCCTCAGCCTCCTGAGTACTGGGATTACAGTTGTGTATCGCCACCATGCCTGGCTTGTTCTTTCATTCTTGTACTGGGACTGAGCTACATCTTTGTCCCTCGCTTTGTTTTGATTTTTGATACAGGATCTCCTTAAGTAGCTAAGAGTCCAGGCAGGAATCCTCCTGCCTCCCAGAGTGCTAGGATTACAGGCATGCAGCACTATGCCTGGATTCTTTGTAGTTTTCTACATGTCAGGGCATTTCATCTGCAAATAGACCTAGTGTGATTTGTCCTTTCAACATGGATTCCTTTTTGTTTTCTCCAACTGCCTTAACTGGAACCTCCATGCAAATTTTAATAGATATGAGAAGAGGAGATCCTTGCCTTGATGTTAGCTATGGTGTTTTTTCTGTCTTTTTGCAGGTTTTCTTAGGTTGAGATGATTCTTTCTAGTCCTGGTTTATGAATGTTTTTATAATGAAAAGGTGTTACTTTTTAAATGTTGGCACTGCACTGATTGAGCTGACCATATTTCTTTTGTTCTATGAATATGGTGTCTTATGTTGGGCCAACCTTGTATTCCTGGGCAAATCTCATTTGTTCATGATGCATAGTATTATCTGTATACTCTGTTGAATGTGATTTGTTAGAATTTGTTGAGGAATTTTACGTCTGTTTTCATAAGAAATTTTGGCTCATAATTTTCGTGATTTCTTCCTGTGATTGTTGTATGGGGGCAGTACTGACTCCTAGAATGAATTAGGAAATACTGTGTCCTCTTTTGTATTTTGAAACAGCTTTTGAAGGATTGATGTTATTTCTTCTTGAATTAGTTGGTAGATTTCACCAGTGAAGCCATCTGATTCTGAGATTCTCTTCATCCCACCAAAGAAAAAACAAAAGACTTTTTTGGTGAGATTTTTTGATCAATAACTCAAGCTTTTTATTTCAATAGGTATGTTCAGATTTTGTTTCTTCTTAAATGAGTTTCTAGGGCTATATCTATTTCATCCAGATTATCTAATTTATTGGCTGATAAATTTTCAGTTTTCCCTTAACATCTATTCCATGTCTGTAAGGTGAGTAATAAACTCCTTTCCCCTTTTTTGAGAGAAAGTGTCATTACTAGTTCAGGCTGGCCTTGGACTTGCAGGGTTCCTCCTCTCTCAGGCTCCCAAGTGCTGGGATTATAGGCATGTGTCACCATGCCTGGCTCTATCTTCTCCATTGGTATTGATGTTTTTTCTGAGACAGGATGTCCCTATATAGTTTATTCTAGTCTTGAACTCACTGTGTAGATCAGGCTGACCTGGAACTCACAGCTATCCTTGTGCCTCAGCCTTCCAAATGCTGAGATTATAGGCATGCACCACAGTGGCCAGCATTTTTAATCTTTTAAAAAACCAATTTTGGGTTATGTTGATTTTCTCTGTTGTCTTTTATTCTCTATTTCACTTTTTTCTGTTCTCTTTATTACTTTCTTCTGTCAACTTGCATTGAAGTTGCTGGCTTTTTTCCTCCTTTATTCAGGAGAAGTTTATATTATTGATGAGAATTATTAATATTTGTACCTGTGTCTATATTTTCTCTCTGCACCTTGCTCTAGCTAGGTTCCTAAAGTGTTGGTGCTGTGTGTCTTCATTTTCATTGGTGTCAAAGTATTTCTTTATTTTCCTTGTGATTTCTTGTCGGTTGCTTATATGTGCTTACTTTCTATATTTGTGAATTTACCAGACTTATTTCTGGTATTGATTTGTGAGATCATTCTACCTTGCTTAGTGAACATACTTTGTATACTAGTCCTTTTAATGCACTGAGAATGAAGGTAGGTGTGATGACACGTTTGTAATCCCAGCATGGGAGGCTGAGGAACGAGGGTTGTGAAGGTGCTTAGTTCAATCCTCACTCCCACCAAAAAAGAATGAGCCACTCCTCTATACCTCGGGGAGAAGGCCCATGTCAGCTCTCACAGCCCACTGAAGAAG